TCTTATAGCTTCTTATAGCATCTTATAGCTTCTTATAGCATCTTATAGCTTCTTATAGCATCTTATAGCTTCTTATAGCTTCTTATAGCATCTTATAGCTTCTTATAGCATCTTATAGCATGCTGAGGAAGCTAATGCAAAGCAGAAGATGTATGATGAGTTGTATGAGAGGCTGGACACTAAAGAGGGCGAGAAGGACTTGTACCGATTGGCGAGACAGAGGGATCAGGCAGGAAAGGATGTGCAGCAGGCTAGGCTTATTAAAGACAGGAATGGTAATGTTCTAACAAGTGATGAGAGTGTGAAGGGAAGATGAAAGGAGAACTTTGAGGAGCTAATGAGTGAAGAGAATGAAAGAGAAAGAAGACTAGGTCATAGAAACTGTGGACCAGGAAGTGGGAAAGATTAGTGAGGGTGAAGTCCAGAAAGCTCTGAAAAGAATGAAGAAGGGGAAGGCAGTAGGACCTGATGACCAGTGGAGGTTTGGAAATGTCTTGGAGAGATGGTAGTGATGTTTTTGACTCAAATATTCAATGGCATACAGTGCCTTGTGAAAGTATTCGGCCCCCTTGAACTTTTCAAACTGTTGCCGCATTTCAGGCTTCAAACATAAAGATATAAAATTTAATTTTTTTGTGAAGAATCAACAACAAGTGGGACACAATCGTGAAGTGGAATGAAATTTATTGGATGTGTCAAACTTTTTTAACAAATAAAAACTGAAAAGTGGGGTGAGCAATATTATTGGGCCCCCTTGTGTTAATACTTTGTAGCTCCGCCTCTTGCTGCAGTTCCAGCTGCAAGTCTCTTGGGGTTTGTCTCCATCAGTTTTGAACATGGAGACACTGAAGTTCTGCCCATTCTTCCTGCAGAACAGCTGGAGCTCAGTGAGGTTGGATGGAGAGCGTTTGTGAACAACAGTCTTCAGCTCTTTCCACAGATCCTCGATTGGATTCAGGTCTGGACTTTGACTTGGCCATTCCAACACCTGGATATGTTTATTTGTGAACCATTCCATTGTAGATGTGTCTTTATGTTTTGGATCATTGTCTTGTTGGAAGATAAATCTCCGTCCCAGTCTCAGGTCTCTTGCAGACTCAAACAGGTTTTCTTCCAGAATGGTCCTGTATTTGGCTCCATCCATCTTCCATCAATTCTGACCATCTCCCCTGTCCCTGCTGATGAAAAGCAGGCCCAAACCATGATGCTGCCACCACCATGTTTGACAGTGGGGATAGTGTGTTCAGGGTGATGAGCTGTGTTGCTTTTACACCAAGCATCTTGTTTTGCATTGTGGCCTATCCAAATACGGCTTTAAACTTCTCCACAACAGTATCTCGGACCTGCCTGGTGTGTTCCTTGGTCTTCATGATGCTCTCTGCGCTTTGAACAGAACCCTGAGACTCTCACAGAGCAGGTGCATTTATACGGAGACTTGATTACACACAGGTGGATTCTATTGATCATCATCAGTCATTTGGGACAACATTGGATCATTCATAGATCCTCACTGAACTTCTGGACTGAGTTTGCTGCTCTGAAAGTTTTCAATTTTTTATTTGTTAAAAAAAGTTTGACACATCCAATAAATTTCATTCCACTTCACAATTGTGTCCCACTTGTTGATTCTTTACAAAAAATAAAATTTTATATCTTTATGTTTGAAGCCTGAAATGTGGCAAAAGGTTGAAAAGTTCAAGGGGCCGAATATTTTCGCAAGGCGCTGTATATGAGGGTGAGAAAATGTCTGAGGAATGGAGAAGAAGTGCTGGTGGCCATTTTTAAGAACAAGGGTGATGTACAGAGTTGTAGCAACTACAGGGGAATTAAGTTGATGAGTCACACGATGAAGATCTGGGAGAGAGTTGTGGAAGCAAGACTTAGATGAGAGGTGACTATCTGTGAGCAGCAGGATGGTTTCATGAAGAGAAAGAGCTCCACAGATCCATCTTTGCTTTGAAGATGATGATGGAGAAGAACAGAGAGGGTCAGAAAGAACTCCATTGTGTCTTTATGGATTTAGAAAAAAACATATGACAGGAGGACATGTTGGACTGGTACAGGACATGTATGAGGACAGCAGGACATGTATGAGGACAGCAGGACACATATGAGGACAGCAGGACACGTATGAGGACAGCAGGACATGTATGAGGACAGCAGGACACATATGAGGACAGCAGGACAGTGGTGAGATGTGCTGTAGGAGTGACAGATAGCTTCAAGGTGGAGGTGGGAGTGCATCAAGGATCAGCTCTGAGCCCCTTCTTGTTTGCTCTGGTGATGGACCGACTAACAGATGAGGTCAGGCAGGAATCCCCGTGGACGATGATGTTTGCAGATGACATTGTGATCTGTGGTGGGAACAGGTGGAAGAGAACTTGGAGAGGTGGAGGTATGCACTTGAAAGAAGAGGAATGAAAGTCAGTCGTAGTAAGACAGAGTCCATGTGTGAATGAGAGGGAGGAGGTGGAACAGTGAGGCTACAAGGAGCAGAGGTCACAAAGGTGCAGGACTTCAAGGACTTGGGGTCCACTGTCCAGGAACATGGGGAGTGTGGTGAAGAGGTGAAGAAGAGAGTCCAGGCAGGATGGAGTGGATGGAGAAAAGTTTCAGGAGTGATTTGTGACAAAAAAGGTGTCAGCAAAGGTCAAAGGAAAAGTTTAAAAGACAGTGGTGAGACCAGCTATGTTGTATGGTCTGGAGACAGAGACATGGACAAAAAGACAGGAGACAGAACTGGAAGTGGCAGAAATGAAGATGTTGAGGTTCTCCTTAGGAGAGACAAGGATGGAGAAGATCAGGAATGAGATCATCAGAGGTACAGCACAGGTTGAACAATTCAGTTCAGTTTATTTATAAAGCACCAAATCACAACAAAGTTGTCTCAGGGACTTTACAGGAACATTCACATAAAAGACAACTAGTAAAGTTCTCTATCTAAGAATCCAGCAGACAAGTTGAATCTTGGCTTCGTTGCAGTCTCCCATCCTGAGCAAGCACAGTGGAGACAGTGGAAAGAAAAACGTTGGTTACGTACTGTAACCCCAGATTCTATGAATATAGGCGTAGCCCTTTAAGGCTGTCGCTGATGGTTTATCCCGTTATGCGCAGCATAAGCACTGAAAAAAAAATTAGTCCACGCCCACCTGCTGTGTGGGCCCCACCCGGTCCGTATAAATTACGTTAAGAGCGGGAAATCGGCTCCCAAAATAGCTTTTTTCTTCAGCCATTTAGGAGCCAGTGAGGCCCGACGCTTAAAGGGCTACGCCTATATTCATAGAATCTGGGGTTACAGTACGTAACCAACGTTCTATTTCATATAGGCTTCGCCCTTTAAGGCTGTCGCTGATGGTTTAAGGGCGAAGCGGATGTGGTCCTCGCCTCACTGGGTCCATTCGAACACAGTAAGAAGCGGAAGCTTGCCCAAAAAACGTCTTGTCACTCAGCTCCCCGTGTGCATAACTACGCATCGCGTAATTATGTGCCATGCACAGACGCATGTTGTGTAACTATGCGTTCTGACAAACATGAATACCCCGGAAAAACTTTCAACGGGAAGAGGAAGTTTAAAAGAGGGGGGGGGAGGGGGGCATGAACCAACTGGTTCATGGCTGAACAGTATAAACAGATTAATGTCCATGAATTGATCAATAATCAAATGAACTGATTGTTAACAATAATCATGAACTGATTAGTGACAATAGAACCAAAATCACAGACACGACTGTGACTGAAAACAACATCTCACACTGTAATGCATGCAGACAGAAGTGAGCTTAAACAGAGTTCCATGAGAACAACAATATTCATTCTGTTAGGGCACTAAGGACAGAATGTGTCATGGAACGAGCCGTCACATCACGTAGGTAAAAGCGAATAAATGAGCAGGGTGTTGACCATGCAGCCGCAGTGCAAATGTCCTGCACTGACATACCATTATGCAGAGCAGTCGAAGATGCGATACCCCTGGTCGAGTGTGCTTAGAGGTTGACAGGAGGCCCTAAATCTGATGCTCTGTAGGCTTCAGAAAAAGGCCTCACACAGCCAGTGTGACAAGCGCTGGATGGATAACGGCGACCTGCAGAAGCATCTCTATAATGCACAAACAATTGTTGAATTTGAACGCATTGCAGCTGTGCGCGTTACGTAACACGTCAACGCCTGCACCGGGCAGAGAAGATGAACAGATGCTTCCCCTTCTGATCTGTGGGGGGGAAAAGACCCCTCCAACGACATCACTCTTGATTTAAAAGAGCTCGTGATGTTTTAGGCATAAAAGCTGGGTTGGTCTTAAAACAGCTGAGCTGCCCGTCAGCCTAATTCTAAGGCATGACGAAACAACAGAGAGGGCAGATAATTACTTACCCTCTTAGCGGGTGTTAAAACCAGCAGCAGGACTGTTTAAAGAGACAAGAATTTAAATGAAAACTGATCCAGAGGCTCAATTGAAGCTTTGATCAGGGCTCGCAGGACCAGCGTTAAATCCCACTGTGGAACAAGTGGGCATGAAACAGGCCTACATCTCTGTACACCTTTTAGAAACCGCTTCATCAGCGGGTGATTAAAAGCTGTTCTGTCTCCAAACCCTTTGTGGCAGGAAGAGATGGCTGCAACGTACGTTAAAGCGTACTGAAAGCCAACTCCCTATCCATCAGGTGTTGTAGAAAAACAACACGCTGCCTAAAAGGCATGAAGTGGTCTCTAAACCTTCTCTGTACACCAGCGCTGAAAAGCCGTACCCTTGATGTGTACAGAACTGTGGTAGATGCAGCACGTGAATCTTGAATTGTGCACACTATCTCCTGAGGGAGACCCATCCTCTAAGTGGGACCGCTCAGCGGTCAAACCCACCGGTGTTGACCTATTTCTGGGTAACTCTTGGTCGCTCCTCCTGCCTGAAGGAGAGCATCCTTCCTCCACGACAGTTCCACGGCGACCCCA